CTCATCTCCATAAGATGAGTCCAGGCCTGGAGGTCAGGTTCTGGGCTCAGGCCCTAGTTCTTTTCACTCACAAATGAGTTGGAGCCCCTTACAAGGACCTTCCTGGCCTCAGTTTCTTTATCTGTTAAGTGTGGCTTTGGGGAAGCCCCGAGGAAATGAGGGGAGGAAAAGACCAGTCAATTCCAGTATTCCCCACTGGTGGACAGCAGAGGTGAAAGGATGCGAAGGACTCAATATCATCATCATTATCAACACAAGATAATAATGGCTGCTCTCTGTTGTATTCACTGTGGACCAGCCTCAGGCATCTTCTCATTTCACTTGTTCCTCACCACCAGCTCTGAATCTTCCCTCCCCATTTTTCAGATGAGGAAACTGAGTCTCAGCAAGGTGAAATGACTTGCTTGAGGTCACATGCAAACCTAGCTGACTCTTGGAGCCCTTAAGGACGGTGCTGTGAGGGTGCTGCCTGGCACCTGCCCTCCTGGGCACTCAGCCTTGAAAGTAGTAACCCAGCCCTAGTGCCCCCCCCCCCACCTCCGCCAGCGCCCTCGAGGGCTGGCACCACCCGGAGCCTGGGCGCTGGGTCCCGCGACGCTAGGCCAGGACAGTACGAGGGACTGGATCAGGCCAGGACCCGACTTAGGGGCCTTGGCACCTCTGTGCCCTGGGGCTCTCAGTGCCCGCACCCGGTACTAGGTGGGCAAGCCCCAGGCAGTAAGGGTGTCGCGCCCCCCTCTCCGCCCCCGTCCTCGGGGACGCGGCGGCACCTTCACACTTTCCGCTTGGCCCGCTGCTCGCCTTTCAGGCCGCCGCGTTTTCAATTGTTAATTTGGAAACGGAAAAAGAAGCCGGCGGGGCGGGGGAGGCCGCAGGGAGGTAACTGGAGCCGCAGCGCCGCCCCCGCCCCCGCCCCTCCTGCGCGTGGTGCCGGGTGTCGGCGAAGCTCCGCCCCTCCCGGGGACGACTCGGAGCCCCGCCCACCACAGTGTCCCGCCCCCACCCTTTGCCCCTCCCCTTGTAATAAGCCCTCCCAGTGCCGAAGAGGCGGGGCGGGCTCTGCGGACCCCGGAGCACGGAACTGCTGCGCGTCGGCAGCAGAGGAAGGCGCCCCTGCAGCGGAAGGGGGTAGAGCACCGTCAGGGGGGAGGAGTCCCCCAGGAGCTCTCCTCCCAGGAGCCCCACCCTCTCCCGAGGAGTCCCGCCCGGAGTCAGCCTCCTCTGTGTCCCTAAGTGAACCCAAGCCTTTCCGCAACCCCTCAGCGCTGGTTCCACCCCCCGACTCCAGACTCAGATCGGGCGTCCCTGGCCCCATTCGATAGACGAAGAAACTGAGTCCCAGAGAGGGACGGCTCACTTGCTCAAGGTCACACACACAAGTCTGAATTCTTGAGCCTGGCAGAAGTCAGGATCTGAGCGGAATTCAAGCCCTGTTCCTTGGGCTCTGATACTTGTAGGGTTCTGTCTTCCTCCGCTAGAAGAGGGTGAATCAGGACCAGAGAAGCAGTATGTCCCTTCCCTGACCTCCAACACCCTTTCTGTGGTTAATGAGCCATTGAAAGTTTTGCTCTGGTCTATCCTCACTCCTCCTTGCTATTATTCAATTATAAGGGGAGTTTTGGAGGTAGCCTTTCTATGCAAATGAGCACCATGCAAATGAAATGTAAAAGATCCTCTCCTCAGACTCCAGAAGTTGCTCAGGACAGGCAGCTTCTTTCTGGAGCTGCTAGGGCCTCACTTTCCAATTGAGAAGCTGAAATCACCAGTCCCAGATGGATCAGCGAAAAATAGGGCTCTCAGAGACCCTTCCTCAGGAGTAAAGCCAGACCCAGAGACAGCTTCCCCAACTCCTTAGCTTAGTGGTGGCAGAATCAGGATAGAGAGCACACTGACCCAGGTTCCTAGCTCTGTCCATGCCCTTGTGCCTCCCTTTCTGCAGCCCCAACCCTGACAAATAGCTCAGAGCCATCAAGCAGGCTCCTGGCTTTTAGAGGACTCTGAATCAACCGGAACTAGGGGCTGGGCAGCCTTTCCTGTTAAAAGCAGAGGAACCTGAAAGGACGTCCGCAGATGTGCTTCTGGTTTCCAGCCTAAGACCCTCCTAAACCATCCTTCCACCTTGGCTGCGGAACAGGCCCAGAGAAGTTGTGCTCCTGGCCCAAGGTCATACAGCAAGCCTTTCCCAGCTGTCAGGGCCCACTGGAGTCAGTCTTGCTGGATCCAGTCCAGCTGGGCCTGGATTTGGGGTTCCTATGGGGAGCAAGGCTTTCAGGGCAGCTGTAACCAACTGCCCCAGGTGTGGCCCATGAGTTTGCATACTGCTTTGCTTGCTGATAGCAAAGGCATTGAAACACCCCTCCCCATCACGCCCCCTAAACCTCCCACTGGGTGGGATGCTCACTGGCTTGGGCCTATAGAGCTCCCAGGCTGGGCTCAGCCTTGGGGCCTGTACTCCCCAGGGGGCCCGGCCCTCCCTGAATCTCCTGTTCCACCCTGTCAGCTCTCGGTGCCCTCTCTTCTCCGGGAGTGCTGACAACCAAGTGTTGGGGACTAAGCTCTTTCCCCTGGTTTGGATTCTTCTCTTCCTCTCTCCTCCCCCCTTTGCGAAAGTTCTGCTGATTCAGAGGACAGAAGGCTCCTTAGAGGTGACCCTTACCCCTACTGGGCTCAAGTAGCCGGAGGCCAGGGCAATCCTTGAACCCAGTGCCACCCTGTCACATACGGCAGGAAGGGCAGGGGCAAGGCCTGAGCCTGATGCCTGGATGAGGGAATTTTTGAGATGGGGGTGGGGGAGGGGCAGGTGCCTGGGTCCTGCTACAGGAAGAGAACTCAGAAGGACATTACCTTAGGAATCAAGAAATCTGGGTGCCAGACCCACCCATGCCGCCGATCTACTGTATGATCCCAGGTAGATCAGGCCCCTCTCTGGGACTCAGTTTCCCCTGTTTAAATGAGAGGATTGATTCACTCTAGGGGATCTTTCAGCGCTAAAAGAGTCAGCATCTGCTCACCTCCTGCCACCTCCATTCCCCTAGCACAAGTCACCGTCATCTTTTGCTTGAATCACACAACCGTCCCCCACCCCATCCCCTCTCTGCACCAATGTCTGTTCTCTACTCAACAGCCTGTGCTGTTGCAAACGCCAGTCGGATCGTGTTACTCCCTGCTCAGAACTCCCCATCTCACTTGGAGTAAAAGCCAAAATCCTCACAGGAGCCGGTAGATGATCTGCATCCCACCTCCTCTGCCCACCACTCTCCCTCTTCCTCACTCCGCTCTGGGGGCACTCCTTTCGTGGTGTTCTGGAATATACCAGGCAACCTCTGGCTCAGGTTTTTGCTCTTGCTTTTTCCCTCTCCTCGGAACCCGATTTGCCCAGATACCTGCGTGGCTCCCTCCCTCATTTCCTTGAGCTCTCTGCTGAAAAGTCACCTTCTCAATGCTATTTCCCCAACCAGCCTCTATAAAATAGTCCCCAACTCCCAAACCCTTGCTCCTTCTCCCCTTTCCCCACCTAATTTTTCTCCATCATCATCTCACATTTTCAACCTTTACTTGCTTATTATCCGTCTCCCCCAGGAGACTGCACGCCCCACGAAGGCAGGGACGGTGCCTTTCTTTGTCGTCCGGCTCATGGGGAGCCCTCAGTAAATACCAAATCAGCAGTGAATCAGGCAGTGAGTGAGTGCTCCGGGGCCCTGGCCTGCGTGCTCAGGGCCACTCACCCCACCTGCTGCAGGAAGGGTCGAGATGTGCAGCCAGGAGTGGCCAGCAGGGCGGCGCGGGCACCCTGAAGGGTGGGTGGTGCCTGGGGTCCAGCGCCTAGGTTGTGCTCTCTCAGGGAGCCCCGTTCTGAGTTGGGCCTGGGGCATTCAAGGGGAAAAGGACAAGACCTCGACTAGCTCCTGGTCTGTGGGAGGAGGCAGTGCCTCAAACAGCCTTTCTCGAGTTGAAGTCATTGCCACGACTGACCGAGGTGGGCATAGAGGTGGGGGTGGGGGATTAAGGGAGCCTGAGGTGGGCTCCCACCCGACCCAGCCGGGCTGGAGGAGGGGCAGACGTGAGGGAAGGAAGATCGGGAGGGGAAAAGTTGCTTGCTTTTGCAGGGTAGAGCTCTGACAATGGAGCGTCAAGTGCCAGCTTGGGCTCTGCGTGGTGGAGAGTGAGGTGGGGGGGTGGTGAGGGCCTTCCTTGCTTAGGAGCTTGGGCCTGAGCCTGTAAGTTGGTGGATTTCACACTTTTTAAAAAAGCAGCAAAGCTCTTCGTTCAAGTGGAATCTTATGCCAAGCCCAGAATGTAAAACTGAGTCACCCAAAGCCACATGGAGCTTTCTCAGGTGGAACTGGGGAAGCCTTCCATTGGCTATCTTGTTTAAGTGTTCAGAATCCAGGCTGCCTGTGCTCCACCCCTTACTTCGCTTTCGTTTTTTTTTTTTGCTGGCCTCCTGCCGGGGAGCCCACGCTCCCTGTTTATTTGAGGAGTCCATGCTGCCTGGCCAACCCTAAACAGATGGATGGCCCCTGCTCCCTCCTTGTTCCCACCCTTGACATGTTGCTCAGCCTACTTACCTGGTGCACCAGGTAGTCTGGCTGGCATGGGCAGAGGGAAGCAGCCAGAGCGAGTGGGAGGGTTTGGAGCCAGACCAGGTGGGAGAGGACGAGGCTATGACTCATGAAACACCTTGTCCAGAAGACACTGCCTTCCACATCCTACTGGGACCGAGACCATTCACACTAGCTCAGGAAAACCTGGCATGTGAAGGCGGAGGACACTCCTGCCAGGCTCGGGAAGAATTTCGTGGCATCACGGAGGGAGGCGCACTCCTGGGCTTCACCAAATAGAGAAGGGGAGATGAGGTTCGGGAACAGCGGCCTCACGTCCATTTCTTTCTCTGCTTCCCTGCCAACTTTGCTCTGTGGTTCTTAGTTCCATTCCTGAGAAAGATAACCTGACTGGCTGGGCCCCGCCTACAGGGGGACCTTTCTTGGGTCCGTCTCCAGCTCTAGACGAATCCGTGGTGGCGAGGAGAGCGGCAGGGAGCCATGTGGCCCCTCCAGGCCTGTGGTGGCTGTCAGAGCCGCCCCTGGGGCTGCCCATGTCCTTGTACATCCTGTGCATTGCCAAGGGGCCTGGCCGAGAAGACGTCAGTGGCACTGAAGTCCAGGCTCTGCTTAGGGCTGGGTCAGCCCGGAGCAGGGGGTGCCTGTTTCTGGCGGGTCCATCCGGAGGGGTCAACTTTTTACAATTTTTCAGGCTAAAGGGGAACGCCTTTTTCTAATTGCTTCTCCAAGAGGGGCATTTTTTTCATATTTTGTACTATGTGCTGGCGGCCGCCGTCCCTCCAGGGACACCCTCAAAGAATCTGGAACTGAGCTGAGGGCTCAGCCCTCTCCCCTCCACCCCACTCTGGAAAATGCTAAGGCTGGAGGGGGTGGCCCCCTTCACTCAATGTCCCCCACCTTCATGTTATGGACAGGGAAACTGAGGCTCCACTGAGACCTCATCCCTAAGCCTGAGCCCCCAGCATAGGCCTCCGGCCCAGAGAAGCAGCGGCCGCAGCCGCAGCCCTGGTGTGGGGCCCTGGGTCACGTGCTTTTGCTCCCTTTGCCATATTTAGAATCGCTGGATCAGGGGAAACTTCTCGTCCCAGCCCCTGAGGATTCTTGGAAAGAGCCTCGCTCTGAGGCCTGGCTGACTGCCCCTCCCCTCTATCCCCCTGCAAGAGAAAGTAAGAGCCTGCTCTCCCCAGAGGAGCCCAGGGCCCTCCAGACCACACTGCACCCCCGTGTCAGGGGGAGCCTGTCAGGTCGGGCTGAGGTCCTTCCTTCACTATCAACTCTGGTTTGGGGTTTAAGAAGCCCTTTCCGGCTGGAAGGTGGTGGGGTTATGGCCTCTGTCCTCCAGGAACCTTGGCTGAATGGGGACAGACTGGCCCTAGCTGTCCCCAGGGGGAAGACAGAAGCTTGCCTTTGGGGTCCTGGTCTGGGAGGTGAGGAAGGGGTCACATATTCCCAAGGCCACATGTAGAAATGAGGGAGCCAGCTGGTGGCCAAGCAGGCAACAGACCCTGGTAGAGGTGTCTGGGAGGAGGGACACTGGAGAGAAGGAAGGAGGCCCAGGACGAAGGAAGGGGCACAGCCTGGTTCTGCATTTACTCCAGCCTGACTGGAGGCTGGGGCATCCCCTCATCCCACTTGGCTGCTTCCTCCCTCAAGGAGCACCAAGCCTTGAAAACAAAACCAGAGGGGGCACCTGGCAGGCTCAACCGTTGGGCATGTGACTTGTGATCTTGGGGACACGAGTTTGAGTCCCTCATTGGGCATAGAGATTACTTCAAGGGGTAAAAATTCAACAACAACAACAACAAAAACTCCCAAAACAAACCAAACCCAAAATGCACGTGTGGAGCACCTGTGATGTTCTGGCTCTTTTCTCCCATTCGTACAGCAGGGAATAATGGTCCTATGTTCCCACGGGGACCCCTCTCCGGGGCCTGGTCAGTTCCCTCCACACCAGCTGTTCAAATGCTCCCCACCTCCCCCAGGAAGGAGGCCTGACTCCTCTGTCACAGAGGAAGTGAAGTCAAAGCCCCCAGGGAGCTCTCTGGCTTCCTTGGCCCCCAACCTCAGGTTCCACCTAGCCCCTCCTCCTTGCCGCCTGTCCCAAGCTGGCTGGGGGCGGGGCCGGGGGGTGGCGGGGGGGGGGGGGGGGGGGGGGGGGGGGGGGGGGGGGGGGGGGGGGGGGGTCCCTTCTGCTCAGCCCCAGCCCTGCCTGGCCGGGATCCGGGCCTCCCTGCTGTCCTGGGGACTTCATTCCATCCATCACTCCCTCTCTCTCCCCCATCTTCATCTTCTCCGTCTCTCTCGGCTCCTTCCACTCTGGCTCTTGAATCTTAAAATAAAAAACAAAGCCCAGTCCCAGTGCTCTGCGTCCTTCTCCGGCTCCTGTCTGCCTCTACTCTGTGCCGTCAGGCTTCTTTAGCCATCCGTACGCCCTCTGTTTCCTCTTTATCGCTGCCCCTCTCCCTTTCTCATCCCACCTGGGCCTGTGCCAGGCCTCCCCTTGGTCTCCGCTGCCCTTGCCAAGGTGCCCAGGGACCGGCTTGTCACCAAATCCAGTGGACGTTTTTCAGGCTTTATCTTGCCTGACCTCTTGGCAGCATTTGACGCTGGCTTTCGCTCCCTCCTTGAAACCCCCTTGCTCTGCATCCTTGCTGCTTCTTTCTCCTGGTTTCCCTCCCATCTCTGCCGGCAGCTCCTTCTGAGTCTGGGTGGAGTGTGCCTCCTCCCTCTGCGCCTCTGGGGTCCCATTGGGTCGTTCTCCCAATGTGCCGCGTGCTCTCCGAACTCTCTCGGCCACTCCCGTGGCCTCTACCCCCGATGTGCCCCATGTCGGCACTTGCGGCTTCGGTCTGTCTTCATGCCCGTGACCGTTTGCCCGGTGCGCCGCAGCCCTGTCAGTCTCCACGTGTCCCAAATGGAGCTCATTGCCCCCAGCTGCCCCTCCAGCGGGGTCTCTCGTGTCTGCTCACTCACGGCACCTTCACCCACCAGGTGCCCGCACCAGAAGTATGAGAGTCATTCTCCCTCCTTTGTCCCCATTTCCAAATAATCACCAAATCCTCCTCCCTGAAACCTCCATCCATCCCCTTCTCTTTGGTGCTGTCCCCTTCATCTCTCATCTGAATTATTGTGGAACTTTCTACCTGCTTTTCCCCATCGGTCTCCCTGCCTCCGGTCCATGCTCCACACTACCCCTGAGTGGTAGTCCTGGAGCACATAGCATACCACGTCATTCCTCCCTCGAAACTCTCCAATGGCTCCCCCTTGCCTTGAGGATAACATTCATAATGCCTTAGGGTGCCCCCTCGCAGCACCCACTGGATCTGGACCTCTGGTTTCTCCACTGCCCCTTCACTTCAGCCCCGCGTCATCCAGAACTGCTGGCCACCAGGGGCTGTCTGTAGGCCCCCACGTCTCGGGTGCCTGCACATATCCTGATTGCCCTGCTGGAGGCACCGGCCATCACCCTCTCCGTGTCTTCACTGATCCCTCCACATTGGCTCTGTGGAAGCTGTCTTAGGACTCCCCCCACCAACCCCCTTGGCAAACTGTTATCCCCTTGTCCATCCTATCACTGCTTTGCAATAGTTGTTAATTTCTTGGAGCAGGGGGAGGTCTGGGTTATTCATTTCTGGCTTTGCAATCAACCTGGCTGAGTATGGATGGCAAAGAACATTTCTTAAGTGAACGTGGCTCAGAGGTTAGGAGATAACCCCTTCTCTGCGGGTTAGAAACCAAACCCCCAACTCCTATCCCCACCTCTTCAGCCTCCAAGCATCTGTCTCTCCGGGGACATCCCCAGAGGATCTGGAACTGAGCCCATGGCTGACCCTCTCCCTTCTACCCCTCTGCTGGAGAGTCTTAAGGCTGACACCCCCCACTTCATGTTACAGATGGGGAAACTGAGGCCCAGAGAGGTAGTATGGCTTGGGGGTCCAGGTGGACTTGGGTTTAGGTCCTGGCCTTATGACTTTTGGACAATCTAGTATGCCTTTCTTTTTCTCCTTTTAAATAACTGCTTTATTGAGCTATAATTCACATACCATAAAATCCCCCCTTATAATTCGGTGTTTTTTAGTATACTCACAGAGTTGGGCAGCCATCATAGAGTATCCTTCCGAGCCTGTGCTTTCTCACCGATAAGCCTTGGGTAACTTTGACACTGCTCCCACAGGGTTGTTGTGAGAAGTAATTAAAAATAAGCATGGAGGGGGCTTGGCCCAGTGTTTGGGGGTCACACGGTGAATTGGGGGCGAAGCTGATGTTGGCATGAGACCCACCTCCCCAGTAGGGCTTTCCTTGCTACCTCTGCCCCGTGGCTGTTTCTGGGCAGTGATTTCAAGAAGGTGGTGGGGAGAGAGTGAGGCGGGGAAGGCAATATTTGCAGTTGTTTAAAAAGCCGTGAGTTGGCTAATAATTGAGTCAGCCACAGGCACGCCTATCAGCTGAGCCAGTGATTCTCAAAGTATGGCTCCCAGAGGAACAGCATTAGCATCACCAGGGAACTTTGTAGACATGCAAATTCTCCGGTCGGTCCCGCCTCATACTTACATTCTAGGAGTGAAGCCCAGAAGTCAGTACCTTAACAAGTCCTCTGGGTGATTCTGACACCAGCTGTAGTTCGAGAACCACAGATCTAAGCAAACCAGCTACCTATTCAGTCCCTAACCTCCTCACTGCCTTCCTGAATGAGCGGGATAGTCACAGCATGGGGGTGGAGGTGTGGAAGGGTTGTGATGAGTCTCAGGATAAGCCCAGCCAGGGAGAATCAGCCGGGCAGCACCCACCTGTCCCAGCACTGCCTCCTGGGCCGGGCAAGGGAGGACACGGGCCCCAAACTGCAGCCAGACATGATGGGCAAAAATGTTCCAGAAAGCGGCAGTCTGACCTCTCTGTTGGGGCAATTATAGATGGCCCAAGCCAGCCAGCTCCTGCATACTACCTATAATTCTAGAGAGAGAGAGAAATTGGAGCCCCACAGGGGGCCAGAGGCAATCCTTAGTCCTTATTTGTTGCATGAATGAAGCCACATGGTGGTTCTGGCATTCACAACCAGACCCTGGCTTACAGCTCCTTCTCTCTGTCTCCTCTCTGCCTAAGCTCCAGACACTGATCTCCCTTCTGCTGTCCCAAGAGTGGGTGTCTGTGTGAGGACCCCTCAGGAGGACCGAGGTAGCCTGAGGGATCACACTGATTCACTGATTTGGAACAAGTCTATCCCTCCTTCCTGAGCCCCGTTTCTTCATCTGGAAGATGGGGATAATTATTCAGGTGCCTGGGACACAAGATGTTCTTTATCAGATTTAATGTATCTGTTCCACTGTATTGAGCGTCTGGGGTGGAGAAACTCTCAACCAGTGTATGAAGGCAGGGGAAGTGAAGTTCAGGGGCTTTTTAAACAGTTTACCACATGGAGCTGGTCAAGGTCAGAGACCTGCCTTCTCTTCCCTTCTCAGGAAGGGCGCTGGGGGAGTCCAACAGGTCAGGGATGGATGTGCTTAGAGCTTTGGGAGCCTTCTCAGTGGGTACAAATTGGGGGCTTTGGTGACATGGTGCTTTAATGTTTGTTTCATGTGAATTTCTGCTATTCATTTACTCAGTCTATGAAAAAAATAAATAAAGCAGAGCAAGGAGAGAGAGAGTGGGGATGGGGCTATTATTCTGGAGAGGGGGTGGTTAGGGAAGGCCTCTCGGAGGAAGTGATGTTTGAACAGAGACCTGTATGAGTAAAGGAGCAATAAATAGGCAGAGGAAGCAACAAAGCAAGTGCCAAGCCTGGAGGTGGCAATGGGTTTGGTGTTCCAGGAATGGCATGGAGGTCGGGGTCATCGGAGCAACGTGATGGAGGCAGGGGAGGGGAGGAGATGAAGTCTGAGAGGTGGGGTGGGGGCCAGAGGTCACGGGGCCTTGCTGCACATGCTGGGGAGTTTAACGTTCGCTCTCAAATGTGATGGGAATTTGGAAGTCAGGGGAGAGTTGGAGGAGAGTGATGGCGTCCAACTTTGCATTGTAGGAAGATCACGCCAGCTTTTTTGGAGAGAGTGGGTCACGGCTGGGCCAGAGTGGAGGCAGGGAGGCCAATCAGAGACGAGGTGGTGGCGGCTTGGTCAGGATGGTGAGCTGTGGACTGTGCAGGGATTTATTCTGAAGGTAGAGCCAATAGAAATTGCTAAAGGGCAGGATGTGGAGGGTGAGGGAAAGGGAAAATCAAAGGCAACTCTTAGATACTTGGCCCGAGCCCCTGGGCGGCAGGTGGTGCCATTTACTGGGATGGGGAGACTGGAGGGAAACAAGATTTGAGGGCAAATGGAGTTTGGTTTTGAACATGTTTGGTTTGAGAGGCCACCAGACATCTGAGAAGAGATGCTGAGTAGACAGCTGGACATGTGAGCTGGACTCCTGGGGAGAGGCTGCCACGCCCTGTCACCTGCCAAACGGCAGAAGCGATTATGGTAAAGAGGTGGGGGCAGGATTGAAGGTGGCTCTTTCTCTGTACTTTTAAGGAAATGCATTTTAAAATTCCCATTAGTTTGTTATCACCCCTGTTTATTCTAACAAAATACGAGGAAATGCAGAGGAGCAAAAATGCAAAACAAAAGCCAAATCACTCTTAATCTTGCCACCCAGAGATAAGCCCTTCTGACTCTTGGTATGAATATTAAAAATATCTATATTTTATTTTTTAATGTTTATTTATTTATTTTGAGAGAGAAAGAGTGCGTGTGCATGGGGGAGGGGCAGAGAGAGAGAACCCAAGCAGGGATTCCCCCCCCCGATTTAAAAAATATTTTTTTAATGTTTATTATTTATTTTTGAGAGAGAGAGAGACAGAGACAGAGTGTGAGCAGGGGAGGGGCAGAGAGAGAGGGAGACAAAGAATCCGAAACAGCTCCAGGCTCCGAACTGTCAGCACAGAGCCAGACGCAGGGCTCGAACCCACAAACCACAGCGTGAGATGATGGCCTGAGCTGAAGTCGGAAGCTTAAATGACTGAGCCACCCAGGAGCCACCCTCTTTTAAAAATTCCCCCCCCCCCCATTTTCAAAATATAGGTATTTGGGGGGCACCTGGGTGGCTCTGTCAGTTGGACGTCTGACTCTTGATTTTGGCTCAGGTCATGATCTCACAGTTCATGAGCTCAAGCCCCGCATCCAGCTCTGTGCTGACAGCATGGAGCCTGCTTGGGATTCTCTCTCTCCTTCTCTCTCTGCCCCTTCCCTGCTCATACTCTCTCTCTCAACATAAATAAATAAACCTTAAAAAAATGTAAAAACTGGGATCAGGTTTTATGATCTGCTTCTTTCATTTAGCCTATTGTGATGTGTCCATTTTATAGACATAGAAAGAACAGTGTTGGGAAAAATAAATTCCTGAAAGCCTCAGCAGGAAGCCCCTAGCGTGGCCCACTCACCCGTGGATCTGACATCAACTGAGCACTGGGACGGAAGGATTTCTGTCCAGGGCTGGGGTGAAGGCCCATCAAGATTTGGCTGCAGCCCTTCCCAGGGGAGGGGGTCGAATGAGATGACCTCAGCAGGGCGTTGGGGGGGCAGGCCCTCTGCCCCCGAGCCCTGGGTCAGCGGCCTTCCCCCCTCCCTGGGGGATGTGGTTTTCTGTGGTTAATTATTGAACATGAGGAGTGGGTGCTCTCCCCGCTCCTCTCCCTGTGCCTTCTGTCTTTGCTGACTCAGCTCTCGCCTGGAACTGGCCAAGGAAGCCTCCTTCTCACTCATTCATTCAAAACCCTTTGCTGACATCTGCCACCTGCCTCCTCTACCCAAGGGCATGTGCTGGGATGCAGCCCTAAGCCTGCCCTCCAAGCAGCCTGGGAACCCCTGTCCAGGGAGGTAGAGCCATGCCCTTCACGGGTCTACCTCCCCATCAGCTTCCACCGTACAGATGTGGAGACTGGCTCAGGGAAGGTAGGGGACTGTATAAGCCGGACCAGGATTTGAACCCAGGTCTCTCTGACCCTGAGCCCATGCCCCTGGCACCGTGAAACACAAATGAAGCCATATGGAAAGTGACGTGGGCCACATACACGCGGGCAAGCACGGGGAAGGGGCGATCTGAAGAGGGAACAGTGAGGCGGAGGGCATCCCCGAGGCTTCCCAGAGCCGAGGGTGAGCAGAGACTCAGCAGGCTCCGACGCTGGGGTGTTTCAGGCAGGATGCCCTGCCAGCCGTCCCAGGCAGGGAGACACTGGGAACATTTGGGGAACGCTGTGGGTCAGTTCATAAGGGATGTGTTTCCAGAGAAGCCCGTTCCCCCGGAGTCTCTTCCAGAGCACATGTGTGTCCGGCACATCCCCCTCCCAAAGAGCAGCGCTTCTGGGAGTCCAGATTCCTTGTGCTGCCTCTGCACGTATTCACGTACTGAGGCCTCCAGCCTCCCTCCTCATGCCCTTTCCCCCTCTTCCCGTCCACTGGGAAGTGGGGGACCCTGGCTCTAATCTCAACTCTGTCCTGGACATAGTGAGTGACCTTGGGTGAATCCCTTTCCCTGTCTGGGCCTCAGTTTCCTCATGTGTGTGGTTGGGGTTGTGGGAAGTGTTGGCTGAGCTGGCATATAAAGTTCTTCCCTTTTCTAAACGTCTCTCTCTGGGCTTCCCACAGCCCTCAGGGGAGTTCCAGGCCTCCATGGCATGGCTCCATGAGGCCTGATTCCCCTCCCTACCCCACTCTGAATCCTTCCCTCCTTCCCTGTCCTCCCTAGTCCCCTTTCCTTTCATAGTTGTCTCATTATTAATTCCCTAAGAGCCCACGAAGGCAGAGGCAATTGTCCCCATTCTGCAGATGGAGCGATGCTCCTGCCAACCTTGGAGTTCAGAGGGAGCAGAGACCCCTCCCTCAGCCGCTGACCGTGCCTGGCCCCCAGCTGACCTCTGAGATACTTCTCTTAAGACAGTCTTAAGACCGAGGGCACCACTTGTGAATGGCTGAGCCTGGAGGCGCTTCCTGACTGTGGGAGTTTGAGCTGGTGTGTTTCCACCACCAGCCCAGACAGACCTGCCGCCCCCCAGAGGAATGACCACCTCCCCAGGCTGCAGCCCGCATTGAAGGGAACTGAGAGGCCTGTAACGTGTCTGTGAGCTCAGTAGCCCAGACCTTGGGGCTTCTCCCTTTTTTTGTCCAGCACAGAACCACAACTCCAGGGAACCCTGATTCTGATTCTGCCTTCCGGATAATTCTTCCCAAATCCTCCTGCGACCCCGCAGCCCCCTGCCAGGGGCTCCTCGGCTGTCCTGTCTGTGCAGCATTCTAACCCTATCCATGCTGCTATTGCAGATTTTTGCTGGTCTTCAGTTGCCTGGTGCTGTCCGTGCTGTCCACAATTCAGGAGCACCAGGAACTTGCCAACGAGTGTCTCCTCATCTTGGTGAGTGCCAGAGTCCGGGTCTGAGCGAGGCTGTGTAAGGTAGCACCTTGGGGTTCAGGGTAGAGGGACAGAGAGGCTTCTCCTACTGTGGCTCAGAGAGTGGCTTGCTATGCTGTGTTCCCAGAGTTGATGGCTGCCCCTCTCTGGACTTCATCTTCTGCTTTAGAGCAAGTGTTGAGGGACCTCCTGCCGCTAAGCCAGGGCTGATGTTGGGCTCAGAGAAGAGGTTGAAAAAGCCCTACTCCTTCTCAGGACCCAAACTGTTAACTCAACCCCTGGTGTGATTTTTTTTTTTTT